TGCTCCACTGTGCCTCATTAGCACCACACAGGGTGAAGGCATTGAAGAAGGCATTTGTATTCTACACAATTCCAGATTTTACATCAATGACTCACTTAATTAGGGTGAGTTCAAGGTCATTGCCTGCAAAATTTTGCCTTCTATCCCAAGGCCTTAAGGTTGACTTACTACTTAGTAATAATGTAACGGTATTCTTTGTGTGCCAGAATCGTATTTCATTGCATCGTTTAAAAAATTGAATTTAAACACACATGCACACACACACACACGCACTCAACTGCGTTTGTTTGAAAAACCATCGATTCATTTCGCGCTTGTTTCGAGCTTTGAAAAGGGAAGGGGGGGTGAGGAGGAAGGAGGAGGGTGGTTGAGGTTCAAATTATACCGTTGAAATTTAAGTCAGAGACTCGTGATCTTGAAAACTACCTGTTGGACGTCCTCTCCTCGCCCCCCTCCAGCGCCCTCCCCCCCTCCCCCACCTGATGCGCTCTCTCGCCCTACTATGGCGATTTGCAGAGGGGAATGGAAAAGATGGGGAGATCACAATGATGATCTCTGTGGTATCTGACAAGATGATGACGTTAGTGGAGGCAGACACACACACACTCTGTGACTCCTAGGCAATCCCACCCCTATCTGCCACTGACAACATCACAGATAATTAAATCATTTCATGCCTCAATTGAGGTTCCAGCAACGATAAACATCACCTCTTCCATTCAAGATCGTAAAAGTTGAGTTGAGTGTTAACTACCTAAATTATTTCTACACTTTTACTACTCTTTCACCCAAAAGTGTTCCATGCGGCATCCTTTTTTTTTTCTTTTTTTTTTGCTTCCTTGGGAAAATACAACTTAAAAAATAAAACCCACCAAAATGCAGTCCTCCTTTGCTAGAGTTGAAGATCTTTGAAAGAAGACAAATTAATTGTCTCCATCTAGCACGCCCTTGAAACACTTTTTCTACACTACTTTTAAATTTTCCTCAATGCAGCAATTAGTGAACACGAAAAAAAAAAAAAAGGTGTGCCTCAAAGAGGAAACTCACTGTTTCCGTCCATGTACTTGAATAACGCCTCGACGGATTCCTTGTGTTTCATGGACGGTTTGACGTGAAGGGCAAAGCGTTGCTGGAGAATGGCCCTCTCCTTGTCAACGTCGACATCTTACAAAGACACAAAATACAATCTGTAATTGCGCCACACAAGGTGTCACTTGCACTCCTGTCAAAACGTCACTCCCGAAGTTGCATTTGTTGGATGGACTGTTCCACAATACCACCGTTGGCATAAGACAAATACAAATTTAGACCTCAAAACAGTGAGTATTTACACCTCATTTTTAATCCCATCACAAAGTAATGCGAATTTTTGAGATGACTAGTTGGCACTGCAGGCATATTGTAGGGCAGTAACTTTTACTTGCATTCACTAAAGACGACAAAAAATGGATAGCACTTCAAAGTGTTTGATTGGAGTCGAATTCGTGCGAATTTACCGTGATTCCTCTCCACCTCTCTCTCTCTCTCGCTAGCTCGGCACGAGAGTGTGTGGATTTGTGCTAGGCAATGTGACACTCTCAGCTTTTCACACACACACACACTTCTTTGTGCATCGAGCATTTATGATAACCGTCCGCCTGTAGAAGAGAAAGTTCGCACAAAATTACCTGCCAACCAAAAGGTAGTAATTCTGTTGACCCTGAATGACCTCTTAAAATAATTCTCAAAGAGACAAATTTTACAATTATACAATACACAGTGACCATTCCATCGCATTCGAGGGAGCTTTACAAAACATCTACAAAGCAGTAAACACCTTTTCAGGGCAGTTTTTACGCTGAATGACTTCAGGCAGTGGCTTTTCACCGCCTTTCATCCTGCAATTTTGAGTGCACCTTCAAGTCTACCGCACAACAGGATGTGCGTAAGTACGTCTTACTGCCCTTCCCTTCCCCCAAGAAAAAAAATTTATTTTCTTCTTTCCTTTTTTTCCTTCCATAAAGAGGATTGCTGGATCTTTTGCTATGTCACATGATTCTACAAATGCACTAATTTTGTGGGATAAAATTTGCATTTTTCAATGTTAAAACTTCATCAAGTAGCCGAATTTATGGTGCCGTAGAGGTGGATTTATTAGTTTTATTTTCAAAATACCCCAAAAGAGTGCACACAGTTTGTGCATTAGTCTTTCATCAAATCTACGTGCACACTCATACGTTAAAATCACATGCATTGCTACCGTCGAATTGTGCCTGCCGAGTTAGGCGAGGCTCCTCAGGTCCATTGTCATGAGTCAATCACATAGGTGGGGAATGGTTTACGTCTTAGCCTCCTCGATGGCCCACAGCAGCTGCCTCATGAGAAAATAACGCGACTACTCACCAGTTGACAATGCAGTAGGTTTTTGCCAAAGGAAGATGGATAAGATGGCGATTAAGGGATGTTGGGTGATAGTCGTGGCATTTCTACTTCTTACTTAAGCCTTCCCAAGGGTAGGTAGGAAAGTACTTTGTTATGACAGCAAATAAGTCGTCTTCTGTTTCAGTTTTACTCCCACCTCAGTCATATTGCTCGCATAACTCTTCCACCTTTTGGTCTCTGTGCCATCAACTATTTGTCAAGTCTCTAGAACATGAGAGGTCCGTTGTCACCTCATAAAGCCAACCAGCCTTGGGATTGGCAACTTAAGTTACAGTCGGAAGTACTACTTTCAATTAAATAGTGTTTTGGAGGAAGTTGATTTAGTAAAAAAAAACTGTACACTAAGACGCACCTTCAGGCGCAGTGTTTGGATGATCGGTTGGAAATGGATGCACATACCTGTACCATCGTAACTTCGGAGACAGGTGTCACAGATTTTGGGACATTTTTCACCCTTGTACTTCTCCTTTCGCCGTCTTTCGCCGAGTCTTCGACGAAACTGAGCTGAATTTCGGGAATAATAGGGTTGTGAAGGCCAATGAGGCACTGGAGGGGGTGGACCGTAGGCACCGACTAGTCGTGTCTCCGGATAGCTCCATAGCGGACTGTAGACTGCGTATTGGTTGTAATTTGGAACGAAAACTGGAGTTAAAGCTGGACGTTGTACGCTTGAATCAACTGAAGGGACATTGTATAGCCAGGGATCGGCTATAGAATTGTCCACTTGTGGTAATGCAACACGAGGAGGATTCTCCACATCTCTTGTACGAATCTTGACTGTGGAGTCCTCTGTTGGTACACCATCCGCGCTTCTTTCAGAATCAAATAAGGGAGGTGATACAGGTCTAAGAAGCGTTGGATTTCGCTGCTGACGAATCTGTCCAAGCTCAAATGCGTTGGTTGTCGGTAGAAGATTAAAGAGGAGGAGGACAATGATGATCAAATGGATTAGGGCGAAGGGAGGGGGGCTTCGATTCTCTTGCGCACTTTCATTATTCTTAGTACGTACTGGTTCACTGATTGTCTCATCACTTGGACAGACTAAAATCCCAAACGAACGCAGGAGAGCGGTAAAAGTGTGGAGGTAAGCACGAACATTAGCAAAGTCTACACGTCCTTGTGTCGACGTGCATGAATGCTGTGCTGTGGAGAGTAGAGGTGGCAACAGATGTGCTACTTCTTTGCGATCGGCTAATGTGAGGGCTGTTTCGCGTCTCCCAGTTTCCTCTTCGGCTAGAAGCATAGGAGTAAGAGGTTGGAGTTTGAAAACCCCTCCAACGACCCGATTTACATCGATTGGTGCCTTTTCTGGCAGGTGAAGGTCATCAAGAGCTCTCCACGTGGGATTGTCGGTTGGTGAAAAGGCAATGACAAGAAGTAGAAACAGTCTGAATGAGAGCTGTGGATTAGCAGTGCCTTGATCCGCCTTGTCGCTGCGTTATAAATAGGAAACTGCGCGCGCTGCAATTTGACTCACACTGAGTGCACACGCGCGCGCCCACTTACGTACACGCGAGCGTATACACCCGCACAAAGCACACTAGTCATGCATCCCTCCCATTGGTCTGTTCATTTTGTGCGTGAAATTGAGCAATAATCGGCACTCACACGCACATACAATGCCTGCCTGTTCGGCATGCTGTAGCGCCGATTATTGCCACACACACACACTGGTGAAGGGATACACTCTTCGTGTGTTTACTCAATGAGAAATATCGAAGAGCAGAAGTCTTTGTTTAGCTTGTTTGTGTATGCGTGTGTGCGAGTAAATATCGTTTTCCACTCATTCACCCTCTTTTCCGGGCCTTAAGTTAGCATTTTGGCTAATCGCATCCTTCACAATTCGTACTGTATTTGACCATAAAAGGTACATTGTGGTAGCCTTGCGGAGACATCAGGTGGATGAAAGTGTATTTCAACATTCATTCCAGCAAATTGTCAAGCTGTTTGGAGCAGCTGTGACAGCGTTGCTCCCTCCCCACGTCTCACACGAGCATCAGCATGACTAATCATGTTATTGCACCGAATAGGGCTGCTCAGAGACGTAGTTACTGCCTTGTATTTGATGGAAACTAACTTAAGCACTAACAGTCGTCACCTCTGCTTGTATTGAAATGCTTGGCACAATTTTGTGGCGGAATGTAAATAAGCCTTGAATGTAATGAGTTCTCCATAAGAGGCACCAGTAAAAGGACCTTGACACAGCGATTATCTGGCAGTTAAGAGGCATGACCTTCAGTGTGGAGGACGGGGATGTTATTCCCATCTTCACTTTCCATTAGGAAACTACATAACACAGCGCCTCCTTGGGCACGACGGAACTGTTCACTCACTGCACACCAAAATGGAAGATCGAAGGCAACGATATGATCTCTCTACACACAACTCTCTGCACACACGCGCACATGACTGATTTAAAGCAAAAAAA